ATATTACATTTGTTAGTAATAAATAAAAAAATCTACAAAATAAAAAAATAACATCTTTCTAAATGGAAATCATTCATGCAAGTTTGCTTCTTGGCTGAATGTTGCATCCATGAGTCTTCAACAAAACTGAAAAAGAAAAAAAAGGAAAGTGAGTAAAACTTGCTGGATTAAAGATGAGCAAATCTGCCACATTCCCCAGTTTTAACCTGGAGGAGTCCATTTATCAACTCCTGCCACCAAAGATCAAAGATTAATTTGGGGTAAATCTAGTATCCTCCAGAATACTGACAGCAGAGGGTGTACCGTGGCAATGCTTTGGAAAACAATACCCAGCAGAGAATGACAGCAGGAGGCTTCAGGCCTGAACCCAGTTTGCATCAGGAAGGTACCTGGTGTAAAACCATTGCCAATTATTTCATGTGAGTTAACTTGCTATGACCTCTGCGAAAGGGAGCAGCCAAAAGAAAAACAGAAAATGACAGTAGGATCCAAGCCAGTGTGCAAAAGTTGACCTTGGCTCTTGTCGTCCTGAGCACCCTGTTGATGTGTGCACCACAGGAGTATGTGTAAGGTCTATTTATGGCTCGAATGACTCAAAACAGACCTAGGTCTATAGAAATWGGTTGTCCTCCCTGTATTTACATCTCCTCTTTGGCTTTCATTTTTTTGTCTTTTTTACTGGCAGTTGCGGGGTGGACACCATWGTTCGTTTCTGCCTGAAAAACAGGACAACGGTTGGGTTATATAATTTTATTTATTGTTTTTTTGTGTGTCTTAGGCTCTGAGAAAAAATAAATCCAAAGTTGAATTTTTGAAAAGATCCATGAGATTGCTCTAAACGTCTGTATTTCTGCAAAATGAGGGGAAAATCTGACATAACAGATTGTTGACGGAAGTCATCCCCAGCCGTTCTCCAGACGCACGATGGAGCCGGCCAATCACTTTTGTTGGCATTGATCAGCTGACTGATTTAAATACATCTTAACATTCATGAGGTACTTTGCATTGACTGTTTATGGTTGAATGTGGGAGTGTAGAGGGTAGAACCTGAGGCGGGACCTCGTGCTCAAACTCTGAGGTACAACTGTGATCTTTAAAGGAAAATTGCTTGAAGGTGTGCCTGTGCACGCTTTTATGAATCTGAATTTGTTTTGGAGTACGCCATTTTCACCTTTTGGCCGTATATTCACTTTTAGTATGAATTCTACTCAATCTTTTATAAATGAGGCCCCAGAACTGAACAGAGTGAGTCTGATGAATTTCTAGTTTAATTGTGCCTCCTCTGGACCTGTCCAAAACATTTCATGCTGGCCATTCTAACATTATCTAAAGCTGTTCATCTGGTGTCAGATTTATAAAGGATTGCGTGGAAACCATACTAAAAGTGAACGTATGGCCAAAAGGCAAAAATGGCATACGCCCCCCAAAAAATTCAGATTTACACAACCGTGTGTACGCACGTTTCTGCACATCTTTCCCTTTATTAACCACAGCTGCACCTCAGATTTTGAGCACGAGGTCCCTCCTCAGGTTCTACCCTCTACACGCCCACACTCAACCATAAGATCCTCCTCAGGTTCTACCCTCTACACGCCCACACTCAACCATAAACAGTCAATGTAAAGTACCTCATGAATGTTAAGATGTATTTAAGTCAGTCAGCTGATCGGTGATTGGCTCAGACACGCTCAGTCGTACGTCTGGAGGATGACAGGTGCTGACAGCTGCTCGCGTGAACAGATCGTCTGTAATTGATGCAGATTTTCCCTCATTTTGCAGGTTTACAGACGTTTACAACAATATCACGATTTTTTTCAAAAACTCAGCTTCAATTTTGTTTCCTCTCAGAGCCTGCAGGACGATAAAAACAAATAAAATGAAATAAGTCAGATTAAGTTAGAAACTAGTTCACCACTCTTCTCCCCCTCCTGTTATCTGCGGCTGATCGTCTCCCCACCACGCGCGCATGAAAAATACGGATATTAAAATGTGAATCTTTTATAACACATCCACGCTGGCGAGGGCACGCACACACAAAGTGTGACTATAACCGAGCTTTTTGCTGTCAAGCTCCGCTGAAATTCTTCTTGTCAGGGAGGGGTCTGTGTGTCAGGGTTGTCTGAGGAGGAAGAAGATGAATGGAGATGAGTGAAATTTTTTTAAAGATTTTTATTTCAAAGGTCCTCATGGCTCAGCAGCAGCAGCAGCAGAAGCATAAATAATACTGTTACGAAAGCTGATGATAAAGTTGAATAAAAATCTAAGTCTGATTCTGAAGGTAAATTAAATATCTGACAGTGATCATTACACAGTGTGGCTCTAATTCTTCACTTCACCATCTGTGTCGCAGTTTCCCGTCTCCAAAATGAGCGTACACATGGGTCAGAGCTGGCTGAGGGACCGCACATTTTCACGTTAAGTTTGAGTKTTATAAAACACAACCTTGGTGTGAAAAGTAGCGTACACAAGTTTCTGGWCTTGTTTTTTACGTACGCAAGCTTTATAAATTGACAGTTCAGACACATGTACTCTGTCTCGCAACAGCTGATTTTCCTTCCTCTCCTTTCAAGTGCATGCCTTCTCCATCCTCCGTTTCTCAAAGTATTTTTGAATTGAACTGAATTCTCACCAGAAAATACAATGTCATATGCAAACACCACAGACCACAGAGATTCTTGCCTGACCTATCTGTTAGTCTGCCCACTACCAGAGACACTAAACCAGTGGTTCTTAACCTGGGTTCGATGAGCTGGTCTCCGGGGTTCGGCGAAGCCTCTGCCGCGGAGGTAAAGACACAGTTGTGTAAAGTCGTGATGACACGACCCCCGCTTGGCCATCACTTGCTACAGAGAGATTGCTTGGCCAGTCAGTGCTGGCCCCAAAAAAGTATTTTGTGGATTCAAAACGACAAAAAACTAATTAACTTTAAAATAAAAAAATATTAAAAAATGTTAAAATTTTCAAAAAAATCCTAATTTATTTTTTATTAGTAAGATAGTAAAAAATATTTTTTGGGGGACTGAAATTTTTTATGGGGCCAAAATGTTTTTTGGGGCCAGAATAAAGTCATACTGTAATTTGTTGTGAGTTCATGCATTGCGTTGGTTTTGTTCTTTGAGCAAGGTGATGTTCATGCACGGCTCATTTTATACACCAGTAAAAAAAACATATACCTATGTCTTGAATTTGGAAAAAAAACAAACATTTTATTTATGACTAAAAAAGGTTCAGTGAATGCGCGTACGAAGCTGGTGGGTTCGGTACCGCAAATAAGTTTAAGAACCACTGCACTAAAGAGTCATAAAATAAGGGGATGGGGTATGTGTGTGTGGGTTTGGTGTGAGGGGCAACAAATGTCATTTGCTAGAAAAGGAGGAAGGATCCTTTGAAGCTGTTAAGGCCAATACAGTTTGTGAATTACAAAATAGACTTTTTTCAATTCACAAAAATTACAACATTGTCAATAAAATCAGAAAATATTTAAGGACTGCTTTTGCTATTTGCACAGATGTATTTTCAAGGCCCTCAGGTTGAACATTGTCAAACATGACTATCACACACTATTTTTAAAATTCAAAATCCCACACTATGGATATACTGTACACCTCAAAAATGGGACCAATTTTATTGCACCTGCTAAGGACCGGAGTTGTTCTGTAGCTGTGCGCCCTCTGGTGTGGAAACATTATTTGGAGACACATTTGTGTGGGCGTGTTTTGCTGCAGAGATGCTGAGGACGAGCAGCTGAAGCCTCCGGTTCCACATCTCATTGACAGAACAATACGCTCCCAGACCAGAGCAGAGGCCAACTGTTGGCCACACACACACACACACACACACACACACACACACACACACACACACACACACACACACACACACACGCGCGCGCGCGTCCAAAGACATGAATGTTTCATACTGTGCAAATAAAATTTCTGCTTGTTTGGACCTGGAGGAAAATCTGTACGGTTGTGGTATTGATTCATGGTGAAGAACCCAAGTTTTTCCCTCCCAGGTATCAATAACTTCCTTAACAGGATTTATGGGCAACATAATGGATGCTTAAAGTTCGAAAAGCCAGATTGAAGTAGAGGTTATGAATGCGTTGAGCCACGTTTTCATTTTGTGTACAAAACACACCACCGGTTTATGTATGACGGATGCCGTAACTGGACCCCCCACATGTATATTTACGCTTCAAGCTGGCGAGGAACACATAACATGGAACATTAAGGTATAAAGAACGGTGTTAAAAAATAAAATAACATGAGGCAATACGTTATGGATGTGTACCAGGGTTCTGCGCCAGACTTCCCTCACAACTCTGTCTTGAAGTGAGCAGCCGATTCATATGATGAATGTGAAGAAGTGCAGGTGCTGCGATGCACACATGAATGA